ATTCTACGCCGGAAGCCAAACCTGCACGCATACCAAAGCTAAGCTCGTCGGTGCACGACATCAACGCTGAGAAACCACCCTTTGGATCAAGGTAACCACGAGAAAGATCGATCCAGAATATCCCTGATCATCAAACATGATACAGGTTTCTTACTCAAGACTCTGATGTCTGGGCCCAGAATGCTTGGGACCATGTTCCACCCCCTGAAGATCAAACTGAAACGATCACTGCATCACTAGCGAGGCAACGTCTTGTTCCAGTACCAGAAAATGATAAGACTTATAATGAAAAGCCCGCAAAGTTCTGGTTCGTCTTTCGTCTGTCATCGCTCCATTCACTCTGACGCTTTCGATTGATAGGGATAATTTTTACAAGACGAACGCCGACAACTTCTTCAGAAATAGAAAATGGTCGGTGTCACTCCTTCTGTTTCCTGTAATACCCTCACCTTTGTAGCTGAAGGCTGCATCTTGAATTTCCAGAACTCCTAGCAGCAGCAGAACCAGATGTAAGACTTTGCATCTTGACAACGATTTCTCTTATGTAGTCAGGCAGGGAACATAACCATTTGCGAAATAGGATGCGGTGAGTCTTAGGATCACGTTTCATGAAAATTAACTGAGCCCGGTCTAGGCGCCGGAAACGCAGCATTTCCACTTCTAATGGCAAACAAAAATCCAAATCTTATCATCCGTGCCTACGATTACTCAACTCATGCAGTCAAATTAGTACAGGTATGCACAGGTTAAGTCTCCTCGTATTTTCTGCTCAGTCCATGAGTAGACAAATACCCTCTATAGCTCCCCGCCTGTTGGCAAAATAGAGGCAGCTGTATGGGATCTGTCATCACTGGACAAACTCCCACCGGGTGTAGAGCCCGGCACTGTGGACATCATTGTTCTCGTGTTCGTGCTTAGTGCACTGCATCCAGATGAATGGGGTAAGGCTATCGCTAACATTCACAAGGTACGATGACTGTGTTCACTGCACCGAGATTGCTGCTTCAGTGCCTGCTATTAGATACTCAAGCCTGGCGGGCTCATATTGTTCCGCGACTATGGTAGACATGATCTCACTCAACTGTGGTTCCAATCCGGTCGTCTGCTCAAAGACAATTTTTACATCCAGGGTGGTAAGACACGAGTTTATTTTTTGAGCTGGGTATGTTGCCAATGACACTCATGGATGGTGCAAGAAGAAGTGGGTGCATAAGCAAACTGTTTGCTGTTTCATTATTACACCCAACTTCACCCCAAAGTTGCAAGTTCGTCTCTTGCATGTTCGGGGGTTCACATCTGTCAACAAGAAGGCGGATGTTGACGAAGTCTCGAATATCCTTCATGGCAAACATTTCGTTACTGGCAACTTGTTTCTCACCCTCATCTGTACTCAAGGCAGGGTCCTTTCGCTTGCACTCTCTTGTGCAACATCAATATCAGAAAAAAAATGGTTTGTCTTGTTAAAGAATCAATACCGCAACATTAGTGTTTCCACAGAGTGATGTGAAGGTAGTTGGAGAGATGATGGTCCTCCTTCCTTCAATAAATTCCACTCCCAAATCATCTGCCTTATGGGTCTGGAATGGCAGGTACCTCAAAACTGCTTTGCCTGTTCCAGGAATGAATGCTGTCACCCAAAGGGCTGTCACATTAAGCATTCCAGGCCACCTTCTTGAACTTGCCAACCCCTGTGTCATCAATGTGCTTGAACATCTCACACTGGACCAAGCATCTGAAGTCAACTTGAGGGATCAAGTTGGGTGCTGAGTAATGATGGGCTGGAAGCTGCATCAGCAAACTACAATTTTTCTCCCAGCAGTCCACAGTATGAACACCTAAAGTCACAGCTCACCCCAGCACCAGCCAGCATCCCAGACAACCACAGTACCCACAGAGTGCCTGAGAAATTTTGCATGCTCCAGTATTTTACTTTATTTTGTTAAGTCCCAAGTGCTATGTAGTACTGCTTTAATCAAACTTTTGATTGTACTTAGTACTCAAATTTACTCAAACTCGACCCTCATCATGTATCATCCAATCCGAAATTGCTTTTCATCTCTAACTGTGTGCTTGTCCAGCTCTTCAGATGGGACCTGAGGTCCTTATGGCAAACTGCAAACCAACATTGGTGCCATACACTCCTTCACACAGGTGAACTTTGAGAAGCCCATGAGTTCCATCTCTCATGCCCCTTCTCTCACCTGTCTCTCATGCCCCATCTCCCCCATCTCTCATGCCCTGTCTCCCCCATCTCTCGTGCCCCATCTCCCCCATCTCTCATGCCCCATCTCTCACCTGTCTCTCTTGCCTGTCTCTCTTGCCACTTGGAGGTGTGTTTTTTTATGTATGTATGTATGTATGTATGTATGTATGTATGTATGTATGTATGTATGTATGTATGTATGTATGTATGTATGTATGTATGTATGTATGTATGTATGTATGTATGTATGTATGTATGTATGTATGTATGTATGTATGTATGTATGTATGTATGTATGTATGTATGTATGTATGTATGTATGTATGTATGTATGTATGTATGTATGTATGTATGTATGTATGTATGTATGTATGTATGTATGTATGTATATATGTACATCACTTACTAGTATCTTCATGCTTGTTTTGTGTTTGCGCTCATTCATTTGCAGCACATGCAATAGGTGCATTTTTTTATTTTCATTTATATATATATGTTACTTGTCTTGATTCAGGTCTATGAAGGTGAGTGTGCTTGCACAGAGGACAACAACCTCCTCAGCAAGTTGAGCTCTCCAGTATTCCTCCTGCTCCCTTGACTTGTGCAAGTGGAGATGCTGCCCTTGCCACAAACACATATGATTCCCACATATCTAAATTAGTTAAGTGGCCTAACAGCACTCTTTCTGCCACTTAATTAAGTTCATCTGCATTTGTATGGAGCACCAGTGGTGCGCCCCAGCTGGTTTCAGTCACTTATGTGTGTTTTCTCCAACAGCCTTTACTTCTCTTTCCGATATGTCTTTCCTATGCCCATTTTGGCAACTATGCTAATACAAACAATACTGCTAATGCCTGCCAAACAATGTGCTCATCGTTTACCACGATGAGCTCTCATCTCCTGCCAAATTCCACTGTTTCTTTCTGCATTTTTGGCAGTACACGAAGACTACAGGCCTGACTCTATTACTACATCAATGCACGAAGCCTGGCTCTGCTTTCTGCACATGTGGCCCTCACGACAAATCAAATAAACTCTGGGAAGACGTTCAACACTGCTGCAGTCTTTGACTCTTCATTTGGTGGTGCAATGACAGCACAAGTACTTCAGTGCTTTGACGGACCAAGCCTGGCGCTGCTTTCTGCACACATGGCCCCTGCGACAGATCAACCAACTCTGTGGGAACACGTTCAACATTGCTACAGTCTTTGACTCGTTCATTTGACGGTACAACGACAACACAAGTACTTCAGCCTTTTGTGTGAGGGACTGTGTAGATTTTCTTTCTGCACTTTTGGCAGTACATGAAGACTACAGGCCTGACTCTATTACTACATCAACACATGAAGCCTGGCTCTGCTTTCTGCACATGTGGCCCCCACAACAAATCAACAAGGTAATGTGGGAAACATTATAACCTCCTTGTTACTGCTAACACTCACTACACCTTATCTACACCTCTGTTCCCCATGCCCACCAGTTGCAATTCTCTGGGTGGGGTTTCGAGATGATGCGTTGTTCATGTTGGTGGCGGGGGCAAAGTCAAAACATTGCATGCTGGAGCTATTTGTGAACGTCAACAGGACGTCAACAGGACGCCCATGAAATTCGCTCTGCTCTGCTCAAAAGTATGGCCCATTTGTACTTCCATTCTCTTTCTGCTGATGGTCTCTCAGAACTTCCTTTGGTGGAGCGCGAGCATTTGCTAAGCACAGAGAGTGGTGGACCAAGCATGTCGTTGCAAGCACTGTTGGACAATTTCGACCTCACTGACTTCTCAACTTATTTCATGGATGTAGACTCTATGGTCCCTCCTCCTGGTGAGGAAGGGTTCTCAGTCAGCCATGCTGGAGATGAGATTATGCTCTACCAGGAGCTTGAGACGATTACAATGACAAAAATACGGTATTGCTCCATCTATCTCTGTGCACAATCTCCTCTTACTGAATAGATGAATAGATGACTTGACACCCACAATCGCAGTGGAAGGATTGCATGTCTCGTAGTAGAGTGGGCTTCACAATACAACAATCTCACCAATGCTTTTTTTAAAAGGTTAATACAATCGCGCGGATCTAGATCAAACAGACTCTCTCAGATTGTGCACATGAAGGCAAATATCTATAGTATTCACCTAGATCAAATAGACTCTCTACAAAAAGTAAGCATAGGTGAATGAAAGTGAAAGTTAGGTATCTTACCTCAGATCATGCATGTGAAGGCAAACATCTGAGGGAATGGCTTGCATCAACAGCAGCTAAATAGATCGAGTGATCTTGTAAGGATGAGTAAGTATATGAGACCATAACAATAAGCAAAACGGCACTGGCCAAAGTGATCAAAAGATTCAGTAAGTACAATCAGTGAAACATATCACAAGAGTGCACAATCCAAGAAGCATACGTGTTGCTGGACAATAACAAGACAGATAACAAGATCATACAACAATACGCTCGGCTGCGGGAACACTTGTTATTCCAACATTTCTGACATACAAGCAAAACTGCACTCCACCTCCAATCTCTGACAATGAGACAGAGAATTTTTTCATTGAAGTTGTTGATCTTTTTGGTGCGCTGTCTATTCCAGTAATGTTCACATATCTAACATTCTCTTAGAGCACCATGTTCAAACTTTCAGATCCCTTTCTCCATTCATCAATGTGTCCTTACTTCATTACGGCTGCATAGGCAGTTCGCCTACTCACCCGACAGTTGCAATTACTATTCGTACCCTTGACGTGTTCCAAAAAAGTCATTGGGTATGCCCAAGGTTCAGCATCCATGCTGCCGTGAAGATGCTTTGTTTCATGCATAATGTGAGTGTTTTGTCATCCTCTTGTACATATTCTTAGATTGCCCTAGCTTTGTTATTGTCAGCACCTAGCCGAACAGATGCACACTGCATTTGACATATATCTTGAAATACATTGTTGCATTAATAGCCAACTGGACAAGTTCCTTGGACATGACACAGAGAACTGGCACATGCTGAATTCTTGTCCAGCTTGCCAATATAAGCTGGTCAATGAGCCAACTCTGGACTTCTTGATTCTGTGCGCATGTGATGGGAATAACTCAGCCAAACTTGTTGATCCTGCAGTACGTAGCGGTGAGGAATGTCTTGACCCTCGCTCAGGGCTATCATCCATCTGGCTCACGAAGTTGTACATTGACCAATTTAAAGATGAAGTCCAATCTGCCTGGGCACATCAAGCTAGGCAACAACCTAGTGACCCTGATGATCTGTGGATAGACGAACTGGACTCGAATGATTCTGCAGAGCCACCCACCATATGCGTTGACTGCTGGTGTAATGCAGCACCCAAATCATGCAAGAAAATGTTTGCTATATTTAAGAAGTCAGGGATCTTTGTCACAGTATGCCAGCATGGGTTTCTCCTTACCATTTGTGATATGATCTGAAGCGGCGAACTGTATTTCAGTTCCACCTATCTAATGTTTGATATGCAGGCTAACACATTGACAGGATGAAATACCCAATTGCTAGTGTGAAGAAGCCCATGGACGTCTTTGGCAGCGATATATTTTATGGGTATGATATCAAATGCACCTTTGAAAAGATTATACAATGGAGTTCGCTCGCTGACGATGCCAAATACTTAAACCTGCAGGGTGTTGTGCCTGCCTTTCACAGACATGCCCACAACCATCTTTGCCAAGTTGAGCATCACTCAAAGTATAAAGTCGGTGCTGGGAAGGAGGATTTCGAGACCTGTGAATGGCTTTTCTCTGAATCTAATGCACTTGCTGCCCAAATTCGCAATGCCACAGATTTTCACCATCACCAAGCGCTTAACGAACATTTCTCTTTTGCCGATTTGGACAAATTCGCAGCCCTACATATGTCACATCATTTTTGCAGACTCCATGCTAACCCTGAATGTAGCCGACTTCATCTATAATAATTATGTCCAAGCACTGACAATTATCTCTATGACAAATGTATTTCTTGCCAACTTCCACACATCAAATGCTGCCATCAAGCCCAACTTTGAAGATAATCTCAAGGATGAGCACCAGGTTTTACAATGCCTTGCACGCAAGAAGGAAGAATCCACTGTGGAAGTTGACTATGTAAAAGCATTGAACGAGTATGATGAGGCTCAGTAAGTTTTTTGTTTGGCCATGGGCAGAAAATGACATTAATACTATGTAAGGTGTTCATATGAATCTGCGTGTGTGGTGTTCAGTGGGCTTGATTTACGGCTCAATTATTCTACAAAGGAATCTGGCGACATACGCTGCCATCATTTGCATGCTACTAACAAATGTGATCAGAAGCTTGAGATTGTCACCAATTATGAACATCAAATGGCACTGGACTCAATATGGGGTCCAGACCACCCTGAACAGATGAAGGCACAGTCACACATTACCAATTGGCTGTTCCACAAGGCTGTAGATGACATTGAATGCCTTGTTGTCATGCGTCTGCTTGAGTTGACTAAGCTACAAATGAGTGGTCTAGGTAAGGCTTCACAATATAATTTCGCATTTTTAACACTTGTCTTTGTAGGTTATAAGCTTCGCACTCAAATCTCCAAGGTGCTCAAGAGTTGTGCAAATGCAATTCGAAACACCCTTACTTGATACAACAAATATGGTGCTCTCCTAAGCCCTCCCCGCCCCCCATTACAATGGGACCAGATCATAGAGTATTCTTTCCTTGCCGAATTTGACTTGTTACAGGAAACAGATGGGGAGATCCAATTGAAGAGTTGGGCCAACCCATCTTACCAACATGCATCCACACAATATTTTGAGCACCAGTGTGCTAATGAAGAGATTCGTCGGTTGAATGTCGAGGTTGGACATTTACTCATGAAGATGCGAGATGATGCCATTGATTACCCCCATGCCATCACACAACTTCAGTCCAATGACCCACCCCTTGCAGCCGAACTCCAGCATCGCTGGACACAGCTTTGGTCCATCAATGCATGTCACATTTGGCGCATACAGCAGATTATGCAGCTTCCTGGTTATAGCGGGCCAAAGAGTCCTGGCAGTCGTGTAGGTTGTCAGATTGATGTTGCATGTGCTTCTCCCTGTGAAGCTGTGCCACATGAACAGGATAGAGAGGAGGGAGACAGAGATGATACAGAGCTTGGGCAACAGTTGGAAGACATATAAGCTTACATTGAGGGACTAGATCATCACTGTGTAGATTTATAATTTGCAGAATAGTCATACCATTGTCATGTAATAGCTATAGATCATCGTGTCAATGCCTTCAATGCTGGATTGTGAAAGTATAATGCCCCGAGTCTTTTGCACATTGTTTGGCCATGAAAATGAAATATGCACTGTGCACCTTTGAATTTAGTGACTCAGACAGTACACTAATATCTGTGCATTGATGATTGATTTACAACTGAGGGCTTATGATGCAGGTATATAAATCAGTACTTAATAGAGTGAGCTACTACTGTTCTGAGTCGTTATCTATCATGTGCAATGCAATAAGTCATTTGCATTATCTATTGTTGCAGTGAGCAATTGTAGTGTGTTCACCAAGATATTTGCGTGTAAGCCTGGTGGCTTACATACACATGACATATGGTTCATTGCATCATAGACACCTCTTTCCCTTAGCTTGTACCTTACCGTTGTTGTTGTCATCTTGCAATCCAGAATGTGGTTCTGTTTTGTTTTGTGTGTTTCTTCAGTGTTTCTTGTTGTTGGCCACGACTTGTTTCCACTTTTTTCAAACTTCAACCACTGTTCCTTTCTCCCGCCGTTGTCTACGCTGGATCGGTCTTGTAAACCAAAGCATCACACTACTAATACTAGTTCGCGTGTTCTACACTCAGACTCGCACTCGCTGGACAGCAATAAGCGTCTACCTGCTCCTGTCACCACTACGAGGAAGCATGATCCACCTCCACATCTCACGGTGCCTCTGCCTCCATCGAGTATGCCCGGTGTGGGTACAACAAGTGCAGCAGAGAGAAGTCAATCTACTACACAGTTGGGTCTTTGCTGCCTGCTGCCTCGTTTGGAAACAAGCACGTTCGACCCTTAAGGGGATTGCTACTGGGGAAACACTAGTCTCTGTCTAAAGGGACCCTATAGGATGAAGGATCCGCAAAAGTGGATGAAATGGATAGGATGTGAAACGTACAGATTCGTCGGATGGAGCGGATGATACTTGCGGATCGGACGGGATGCGAATCAAAGTCGAAGGAAGTTCATTAAAGGTTGGATGGATAGTGGGTATAAGTCAAAGCAACCTTCTGGTAAGGTGTAGGAAAAGTGGGAGGAAGTTACATGAAGTAAGTATTTTTCGAAACCCTCCATGCTTATAGGGTACAGTATTTTCAAGGAACATAGATATATAGGTAGCGAGTCTAGACCGTGCCATAAGCTATCTGAAAAATACTGGAGTGTGAGAGGATATGTCTGTGTTCAGTCAGTAACAAGAAAATGCGTGTGAGTATGTACCAATGAGGTAGAATGGATGTGGACAGGATGGATGCGCGAGCTATAGGGGGAGATCCGAAGGTATCTGCATGTCATCCGAAAAGCGGATGTGTATCGGATGGAATGGATAGGTGTTGGATGGACGTCGGATGGATGCCTGATGCATCGGAAAAGTGGTGGATACAAGCCTAGCGTAGGGATACTCCCTACACCGGTTCACCCATGCCATCTTCCAGTTCTGTCACTCCCCCTGTCCAGGATCCTGCCACGGTTTCTCAGCTCGTGCCATCACCTACACTACTAGTACCCTTGCGAGCTTCTAAAATGTCGAAAATTGACATCCCCACCTTCTCTGGCCCACTTGAACCAGCGGCCATCAATGCCTGGCTTGGCTGTTGTGAAGACTCTTACCTTGCATGGTCTGCCCTCAATGCAGGTCAAGTTATGCCTCCACAACTTCGCATTGTGCTTGCTGGGCTCAAGCTTGACGAACCTAGCACCAGCCTCTGGTGGAGCGAGAATCATGATGTACTCAAGCAGCTGGCCACTTGAGAAGTTTTCACCTTGCGCTTCAAGGACCATTTCATTCCCTCTGGCTGGCGTCTAGATGCACTTGCTCACTTCTACGCTGTCTCATAAGGCAACAGCGACTTTCGCTCATTTGTCGCTAACTTACAAGCGGCTTGGAACACACTTGGTTCAGCAGGTCTCGGATACACTATCAGTGATTCAGTCTTCAAAAACCACCTCTTGTTTTGCGCCCAGTCCATCCTCCAACTGCGTGTTCACACAATACCAAATCTTGGGTATGAGAACTTGAAGGTTGATGCTCTCATCAATGTCATGGCAACAACTTGGTCTAGTCTTGTCGTGGAAGGCCTGACAAAGTCATTGCCCACTAGACCAATGTCTACTGCTCCCTCTACATCAACCATGCCTAGACAGAAGCCTGCATACCCTCTTCCTGATCTCAGCTATGCAGAGCATGAAGCATTGCATTCAGCCGGTGGATGTTTTCATTGTCACTTATCGCCATCTGACACTACCTGGAAACCACATATTGCTCACAAATGCCCAGGTGACCAAAGACGCGGAATTCCCCCACGTGCCCCTCGTCAGGTGACAACTGTGGCAGCAGTCACTATCCCTGAAGGCTACAAGGAAGTCTTCTTGACACACGGCAACCCCAGTGTCACAGATTTCTCTGATCCTAATGCTGGTCTCGTCGCCACTCTTATACCCTGTGATGTTGTCATGCCATCATGCATTCTCGAAGGTGACTCCAACAGTGATAATTCGGAGGAAGATGATTATGGTTATGGTTATTAATATTCCTTCCTTCCTTTAATTGTTCCACAGTTTATGTTTTCGTTTCTTGGCTGCTGACACTAGCTTATGTTCCATGGACTCTCCCGCCTTTCGTACGCCTGTGGTTGTTGCCCCTTCCCCTGTTTGTGTGTTGCTGGGACTCCTTCAGACATTAGTTTGCTGATTGATAGCTTTTTTTGATAGTCTGGGAGGGTGTAAGCCTGGTGGCTTACATACACATGACATATGGTTCATTGCATCGTAGACACCTCTTTCCCTTAGCTTGTACCTTACCATTGTCATCGTCGTCTCGCAATCCAGAATGTGGTTCTGTTTTGTTTTGTGTGTTTCTTCAGTGTTTCTCGTCGTTGGCCACGACTTGTTTCCATTGCGCTGCCAGACCTTACATAAATAAGCAAACACTGTTGCCTCATTGCAACCTCCAGTCATCTCAGTTATTGTCCATCATGTCCTCTAACCTGTTAGACTGGAAGTCCTCTGCATTCAACAGATCTCCTACAGTTAATGGCATTGAAGAGTGCAAGGCTCTACTTTCTTGCCCTGAACATCTCAATTCAATTGCTGGATACGACCATCACTAGAACTCAGCGCTCTTATCTTTGATTATGCACGGATTCCACAATGATGATGGGCATCTAGAGCAGACAAAAGGCCTTCATCCACTTACTAGTGAACACTATCTCACTGGGTATTCTAAAGCTCAGCCAGCTACAAAGGAGGACAGGCTAAAGAATTGGTGGGCTTGAGTGACTCATGCAGAGCAGATCTTGCACACTATATTTGACCTGGCAAGTGTTGCCTCTTATTCACACCTTTCCTTCTGCTAAAATGCATGTTCAGTGCACCACTTTAGATAGGTTGACAGGTGGTTCAACAATTGTCCTGCATCATCCTGGTACTACATCTCCAACCTTGGACATCTCTCCTGAAAACCTCAAGGCTGAAGTTTATATCAATCCCAAAGTGCTCTTGGACCATCACGAGCTTCACTCGGTCATCGCTCAAATTTCTCAACTCTTTATCACTGACTATGCAATGCCTTTGGCCCGAGCCTTTGCAAAAAATTGGATTCAGAATAATTGGAATGGCAGTGGCTCTCAAATGCCTTTGAAAGGCAAGACAACATCGAAAGGCAAAGGGCGAGCCAATGTCATGCCTCTTGTTCCCTCACCCGTCTCACCATCATCGACACATTTCACTTTTCATGGACGTCCTTGAGGTCTTTAGAAGGTCTCATGAGTTCAAACTCCATCTTATCATATATGTCTGTCTACGATGGCAGAATCATGTGGAAGCCAACTCAGATCCAACATACTCGGGAGGGTATCAGCACGAGTCATCTGGTCCGCAAAGAGGAGCCGAGTTGGAGGACTGCCGTACTAGCAGCGAGTGTACATCAGGTAAATCTTAGTTTTTCTCAGTTGAATTATTGTCTAATTGATTGCTCAGCCAATGACCCTTACTGTTCTCAATGAGTCCTCGAGCAGTGACCAGTATGAGAGACCTCACCCTCCGTCAAACAGTGATGATAGACGTTACCCTCCATCAAACAGCAATGATAGATGTTACCCTCCTGCAACTCCTATGAAGGGCAAAAGTGTATCCTCTGAATTGTCTCCGCCTACACCCATGTTGATCACTGCTAGGTCCACCTTTGAATTACAGCATTATAATGCACCAACACTTCTTCCTTTTGGGACTGAAATGGAGGAAGTCCTAGAAGAGCTAGGCTACCCGGATCATTTTCATCAGGTCTGCATATCAATCGGCAAAGATTACCTTCCGAAGCAGTGGATTATGAAATTGTGGGAGCTCACTGAGATCTTGGAGGAGCATGCAGAGGCCATCGGGAATGCTATGTTGACTGATTCTCAGGTGTTGCTCTCATAATACTTTTTGTACCATCTTTTTTTTAATCTGACCTTGTATGATTTGTTTAAAATGCTATTCAACCTCTCAGCCTGTCACCTCATTCGCCGTCAGAATTACTGTGATGGTGCTCCCAGTAACTGCTTGCTCACACAATCCTCGCTGGTTGGTTCCTCAAACACGTGCCCCATATATCAAAGTATTGAAAGAAGTGCGTCAGCAACTGACAGAGCGGCGACGGGCTAAGTGCCTTGATGAGGACCAAGAGATTTGAGCTGTTCTAAATTACATTCATGTGAAGGCCACAGAGTTGGCATCGAAGTTCAAACAACCTCGATGCCGCTACCTTGAGCGGTTGTCACTTGGTTCTGTTATCCACCGCCACAAACACAACAAGACAAGTGCCTGGCATGCCTATATGCACTTCAAAGGCATCCAGAACAATACCAGTAAGTTTTCCCCCATAGTACAACTACTGTACTTGTCACTAACTACGGCTGTCCTAGACAAAAGTTTCAGTGAGAAGTCAAACATCGCCGATGTTGTCAAGGAAAAAACCGAGTACCACCGCCTTACTGCTGAGGAGAAGGAACAGCTTATAATTGACTTTGATAAAGTCAAGAAGAGTTCTCAGGATTGCCCTCCAAATATCACTGCTAAATCACGTGCTGCTGAATGTTCCCGGAGTTTTCAGTTGGTGAGAGAAGAGGTGTGTACTTGCCGTGTTACATTTGCTTGTGTGTTTGACTAATACTTCATGAAGCTTGAAGCTCTCAAGGAATGTGTTGGTGCTGAAGCCTTCATCGTTATGGTTCATGGTGTTTCCGACTTCACCATAGTGCCGAAGGCATTCTTCACAAGCCCTGCAGCTGAACACTTTGTTCATTTATATCTATGTAAGGACATCACGCAAATGGCAACCAACTTCGAGAGCACTATACTGGCCAATGGCCCCATTATGAGTTAGTACCTAACCATTTTCTCCCGTATGCATGGCTCAATTTTATTGTAATCAAGACACAGCTGCTAATCATTGACAGTGTGTTGCTAATGTGAAGACTGCCATTCAAAATGGTCTTCGTGCATCACTTTGTAAGCCCCGCTTTTTTGTGTTTTAAATTATCCGCTGATTCACTGCAGGCAAAGTGATGAATAATCCCTCTGCAGTAATGGAATTCAGTTATAATGATCTTGTCCAATGCTACCACGTTAAGCTTGTAGGGTGGAACCACCCCTACTGGGCCAATCCCTCTGACATGAAAGGTGGCATCAAGAGCCTTGAGAACGTGGTCCTTGCGATTCAGGCCAATACCTGTAAGTTTGTAACAATAACACCACAGGAAGCCAAAGAGCGGATGCATTGTATCAATGATGGAGAGATTCTTACTCCTGACCTCAAGCCCTCGATGCCACCCGACTTGCTGACTCCCAATTCGACACACCTGGCCAACATTCATGTGGCTTTGTCAGAGCCTTATGTGCACCCCTCCTCATTCACAGATGAAATGGTGGATCTTGATCTTCATGCGCTTGATCACGGTAAATATTTATATCTACTCTGGTATAAACACTGTTGATGTTGTCTTTCAGCCACTTCTGAAAATGGACCTCTCATGGTACAGTTACCTCCCACTCCACCCATGCCTACTCCTCCTCTTCCAATGGCTTGTGAAGCAGATGTTCTTGTCACAGCGACCAACCACAGTAAGAGAACCACAGATGCTCTGCCTACCGGCACTTCGTGTTTGAAACACACTAGGAAACTCATGGAGAAAGGCCAATCTGAATTAGAGTCAAGGAACCATGCATGGTGTGGGCCAACAAAGAAGGGGACTCAGCGTTCAAAAAAGAGTAATGCACATGTTGAATCCGACCACGAAAACACCTAGAATAGCTTGGCAATATACTACATTTCATTTGCTCACCCTGTCTGAAGTAGTACAAGCTCATTGTCTATGTATCATGCCTCAATACTTAGCCCAATCACCCTCAGAATCTACACAGTCCCTCACACAAAAGGCTGAAGTACTTGTGTTGTCGTTGTACCGTCAAATGAACGAGTTGAAGACTGTAGCAATGTTGAACGTGTTCTGTTAGGTACTGTGCCAGCTCAAGAAGTGGAGGGGTCGGGGCTTGGCTTCAGCTCTTGCACTGCACCCTTAGCCGAGTATGTACCCCAAATTTGGAGCAGGTCTGACATTGTCTGACAGTAGGACGAGTGGACCACTTAGGTCCACTTTGAGGGTCAGGAGGTAAGAGCTACTAGCGGCGGGCCGACTAGGAGCGGAGCGGAGAAGGTGGAGGATAATGCGGAGGGTGGAAAGGAGCAGGGGGAATACTTGATAGTGGCGGAGATGTAAGGGAGAGACTTAGAGCACAGCTCTAAGTCGGAGCGGAGGGTCGGAGGTGACAAAAAGGTGAAACTTGTGTCTGGAGGAGGCAAGGTCCTACTGAGAATTCTCACAAGTAGAAACTGTGAGAAGACAAGTAATATTAAGACTGAGGAAAATATCTAAGTACAGGATATGTTATATACTTCTAAGTATGAGGCAGTGGTCAGGATAACTATGTTGTAAAGCTATGTACCAAGGATATAATTTGTAAGTACTTACACAGGCAAAGACATAAGTCAGAGCGGATATCAATATGTATGCGTCGGATCAGTGATCGAGCAGTAAGAGGAATTACTGGTGATCCGGAAGTAAGGGTCTATGTACCTAAGGGGAAAGTATATGTCTAAACGGGGAAAGAGGTTCCAGTTGAATGGAGATGTTATAGAAGGGGACCAGTTGGGTGGTTGAGCGGAAGCATAGGGGCGGATGTGGACAATGATTGGATGGAGCGGAGGTGTCACGAATCCCAAATACGAACCATTTTTCATTTCTCGGTTTTCCTTCGGCTACTTCCAGTACCTGAGCCGGTCACGTGACTCCTCGTCATATATCACCCATTGCTTCTCCAATTGGCTCCCCTACTCCACGGGCTAGAACAATCTTGCTTCCTAAAGAAGAACCGGTCGGATCTTGGGTTTCTATTTAGTAACTGTCTTACTCATTCGCTTATATATCATGATGTCATACTTAGTCATCCGCAGTATCGTACAACTCTTTTCTCATTGGCTGATTTCTTTCAGACTCCTATTCAATGTTATGTATATAAGTAGGTTAGTTAGTGTAAGTACTCCTTAGACTTAACCTCTTCGTTTCCTACACTTGTAGTGACCTAGACGTTTACACTCAATACCATCTTGTTCATTTTCCTCTTGACCGAGTCCTAGTGGTTGTGCGCTCGCCTTCATCATTATTGGTGAACATTGGTCATAACATTAGGTTAAGTCTATCTTACCACTCTGACTCGAACTTTATCCTGGACATCACTGTTCACGATAAACTTCACTGTGCTATTCTGCTTGAGAATTATCTCGCGGATTACATTTTATTCAACCATCATTCCCCGACACATTTTTGTATCTCAATCTCTTTACGTTAGTCTTTAGTAGAAGTGAACCAGGCCCTCATCTTACTACGAGCCGCCAGTTCATAAGGATCAGTGACATTTAGGTCCTGTTTCCGTACGTCTGCAGTTAGGCCCAAAACCCTGCCAACTGTACACTACCATATCTGCTTTCTATGTAACAGAACGGCACTCGCGACAGTCCTCTCACTGTCTAAAATACTTTACGATAGGAACCTAGGGTGCTAAAAGTAGACCCAAAAGTTCACCGTGTCTTTCGCGAACTCCTCTCGAGTTCTTTTAGGTTGACAAACTGCTACATGCGCTGTATTCGCACCTTCGTTATCACGGCTCTGCCATACAGATCTCGCCTAGTTGCGGCTAGAGCCCTCACACTCCACAGCAACATTTCCTGTTTGGATTCCAATTGCTCCTTCTTCCATGTCCGAGAATCTAGAAGAGCATGAGATCGTCACTTCAGAGGATACAGAAGTAGCAATGGCGCTGGCAGTCGTGCCGCCAGTAGATGCTCCAGACAGGGCGACCATCCACTCTCCAACACTGTTGGCATGGCACCACCCATTGGGATCTGCAGAACCATCCACCACCCCAACCGCAGGCCCTTCTGTACCCTTCGGCATCTTAGGGCCTGGGGAGACTACCATCACCCACAAGAGCATTTCGGATGCAATCCAAGTCATTGTCGAACAAGAAAGAAGGTACACCAGGCAGTTCATAGACAGTCTACAGAAGGAGATCAACGAGCTGCAAGCAGGTCTGGTACATGTGGACGACGAGATCGACTACCTGAAAATCAGGACAAGGGATTTGGAGAATTCCTTGACGGTCGCAGAGAGCCACATCACGGTTTTGCAGAACTTGCCTACAACAAAGATCCCAGGCGCTACATCTGGGACTTCAGGCTCTGATATCAAAATGGCGAAACCCATGGACTTCATGGGAGACAAGAACTCAATTGACATCGACACCTTCCTCACCCAGCTCGCAATCTATTTCACAGGATACCCTGGAGCAACGGAGCAGCAAAAGTGTACCTGTCTCATTTCCTTCTGCCAAGGAGCCACAGCCAAGTGGGCAGAGAGTGTCACACCTATGGCGCTCAGCGGCAAGCCCGGGTCCTATGCTAGCATCGTCAGCGACATGAAGGTCATGTGGACCGTCGTCAACAAGGAGGAGAAGGCAGCAAGAGAGTTGGAAGCTCTCCGACAAGGCAATCATACCCTCGGAGAATATACCCCCCTCTTCCGTCAGAAGCTCGCCTTCTGTCACTTCTCTGACTACGAGTTAATGCGCAAACTCCGCCATGGATTAGACCAACGAGTCAAAAACTACTTGGCCAACATCCACCCCAACAGGAAAGACACCCTGGAGGGATTAATCAGGGAGGCGCTCCTAGTCGGACAGAACCTCGAGGAGCTTGACGACGAGAGGAAGATGAACTTCGCACCACGACAACCTTGGCAAGGCTCCACTGTTCCACCCGCACCAGCTGGAGCACCCAAGACCACGTCTCAGGGAGGAAACACCATGGACGTTGATGCAACCAGAACAGGAGGTAGACCCCGACCTCAAGGACAACCGGGAGTAAAGTTCACATGCTATCGCTGTGGAGAAGAAGGGCATATGGCCCATAACTGTATGGGGAAGCCTCTTGACCCAAAGGGCAAAGGACCAGCTGTCCGCGCTGGCAAGACCGAAGAAGTTCCAGCAGTGAAAGCACTCACCCTGGAAGATATTAACCACATCGTCAACGAGAGGATCTGCCTCTCTAGTATGTACAACCCAGCAAAGAAAGAGGAGCAGAAGGGTTTTTAGGGAGATCAAAGTCGACTGCGGACTTAGATCAGAGAAATCGTTTTTCCATTCTCAGTGACTCGGCAATTATGTTTGCAGAAGTATCAGAAGTTTGTTCTGGGAATAAACAAGACCATTTCTACTTGCCAGTTACGTTGGAAGGGAAACACAAGAAAGCAGCTGTCAATGCTCTAGTGGACTGCGGAGCAACGAACCTTTTCCTCAGCAAAAAATTCATAGAAAAAAATCAAGTTCAAACCAAGCAGTTGTTGAAAGCAATGTCAATTCATAATATTGACAAAACAGACAATTCTGCTGGACCAATTACGAGTTACGCAGATTTGAAGCTTACCATAGGGGATCACGAGGAAGAAGTGGCCTTTCTGATCACAGATCTAGGAACCGATGATGTCATCATTGGAATAGATTGGCTACGATTCCACAACCCCAGTATCGATTGGAATGCAGGGAAGGTGGCATTAGACCGTTGCCCGGTTAAATGTCAAGAAGCCAAGGTCAAGGACAAAAAGACCAAGGCGAAGAAGCGAACAGCCATGAACTGTTCGATCCTTCTGGTGTTGCCCGATTTGATACCGGCAGAAGATGAGGATATCGAGGAAGCCTCTATCCATCATTGGGTTCAGTCGAACAGCCTCAGCTCTAAAATGCAAGGACATGTGGGTACTATACCTGCCAGGCTTGAGGAAGAAGAACAATCGGGCCTTGCTACTACTGTTGGTCAGAAGGTGCAGATCGAGGAGGTAGAGGATGAAGATTCATCACGGAACGTGTGGATCAGATACAAGAGCTCTGTAGCATCAGAGTTAGTGCAGCAGGAGGAAAAGAAGAAGGAAAAGAAGCCCATAGAGGAAATGGTGCCAGACTGGCTCCATGATTATCTTAAGGTCTTCTCCGAAGAAGAGTCTACTTGATTCCCCGAGTCCAAGAAATGGGATCACAAAGTAGACCTCAAGGACCCTAATGATCTTCCTCCCAATGCGAAAGCGTATCCCCTGTCTCCCGCCGAAAATGATGCATGTGAGAAGTGGTTGAAGCAGGAATATGACTTGGGACGACTGAGAGATAGCGAATCTCCAGTAGCAGCTCCTTTCTTCTTTGTTGCTAAGAAGGACGGAAAGCTCAGACCTGTCATGGACTATTGGAGGTTGAATGAGAAAACCATCCGAAATGCATACCCTCTCCCTCGCTCTCAGGACCTTATTGATCGACTCTCCGGTGCAAAGCTTTTTTTGAAAATGGACGTTCGATGGGGCTATAATAATATCAGAATGAAGGAAGGAGACCAATGGAAGGCTGCCTTCAAAACTCCTTTCGGACATCACGAACCAGTCGCAATGTACTTCGGCATGACGAACTCCCCAGCTACCTTCCAAACTATGATGGACCAGATCTTCCAAGATCTTAAGGAAGGAAAGGTCGTTGTAGTCTACATTGACGACATCTTGGTTTTCACCAATGGTGATGTAGAGAAACATCGGAAGGTGGTGCGCAAGGTACTACAAAGACTACAGGACAATGATCTCTATCTCAAACCGGAAAAGTGTTCCTTTGAAAAGAAGGAAGTGGAGTTTCTCGGTTTGATCATCAAGGATGGACACGT